CACTTCAAAGCAAATGACAAGCAGTTATTTGGTTTGCAAATGTAAATATATATTTTTCACCCACTTAAGCTTTCACTCCTTCCAAGCTGGGTAAAGACAGAACAGAAGATGTACTTCTGAGGTTTATTTTCCTTACATTCCAAGTTAAGTGGATCAGCAGAGATACAAAGAGCTGTGAGGGTGGCTACAGTGATCTAGAGGATAAAGGTCTTCCTCCAAGGAAGCAGCTAAATAAATGAACTCCTTGCTGACACTTAGCAAAATGTACACAGGGTTTATTTACTGAATCCTTGATTTCAGTTCTAAGTTAGAGTTTTAGAGTTTAAAAGTTTCTGTTTTAACAGTAAAAATAATAGCTTTATTTCAGGAGTCATTAATTTAAAAAATGTATTGTCTGGGTCTATAAGCAGACTCAAAAACGTTCCAGTTAGTTTATGAATACTGTATAAGTGTTATATATGCTTCAGTAGCTCTGAAGATACAGAGAAATGATTGTAATTATTTGATAGTCAAATTGTGATGAAGTCTCTTAGAGGAGCTGCTTAGTGCGACTGGAAGAAAACACTTCTGATCTACTGTAAGTCAGAATATTCATATACTTTGTCCATGTACTCCTTTTTCAATGATATTTTTGTAGATATTGACAAGCTGAATATTAAATATCAAAATTGATACAAATAATTTTTATTTTGATTGATATTAGTAATATTGTAGCCAGCTGTGTGACGTATCATTTTTTTCTTTTATTTCTGGAATGAAATCAGGACTGTGTTGAATTTGAAGGCATCCAAAAAGAACAGAGGGAAGTTTGGTAAATAATTTTCAAAAAGAGGCTAAGGTCATTGTTTTTTTTCTTGTTGTTGTTGTTTTTTGGTACTGGGGATCGAACTCCGGTCCATGCACTTGCGAGGCAGGCGGGGAACCACTGAGCTAAATCTCTGGCCTTGTCATTCTTAATATAAAAGAAGAATATTCTGCTCTGGAACACAGTATTGAAAATTGTTTGATTTTTTGAGATTACCTGGATATTGCAAATGATAAAGTAATTAAAAACAATTGATATTCAGACCTGAGTCTGAATAATTAAAATAATTAATATTCAGACCTGAGTTTGTGATGAATCTTGAATATTATAGTGAATCATATTTTGTATATATTTGTATCATAAAAGACACATTTATCAAGAGCTTCAATATAAGTCACCAAGCATTTATTTATTTATTTAAGGGTTTTTTTGGTACTGGGGATCAAATTCAGGACCTTGCACTTGGGAGACAGGCAGTGGTGCCACTGAGCTAAATCCCTGGCCCAGTCACCAAACACTTATTAAGCACCTGTTGCACATAATCCACTGTGCTCAAGAAGAGATCCAGATA